GAAAGAGTGAGAGAAAGAGGGGTGCAGCACATTTCCTACGATGAGGACTTGAAAGAGCAAGAAAGAAACCAGTTCGCAGGCATTTTTTGTTGGGGGGCCTCAGAAGACTCTTGAATATCAGAAGGGGATCATTGATCCTTCTGGCCATGGGAAACCTCTGGAGAACTCTGCATGCGTTGAAGGAGGACACGAGCAAAATTCTGTTAGGGCTGAATCACTGAGCTGGGTTAGTCCCACAGAGGCAGGAAGAAAAGAAGGATCTGATGCTGAGAGCCTCCTCCGTCAGATTGGACTTGGTGATTGGCTGGTCGTGCGTAGGAGTGAGAAGTGGGGGATGATGGAGTTTTGAGCCTGGTGCATTCGTGTCCGAATTGAAAGGTTACAAAAGGTTACAATCCTGGGGATGCACCAGGATTATGTTTTTGGGTTGGCCAAAAAGTTTGTTGGATTTTCCCCATAAGATGGCTCTAGTAGCACTTAGTTATCTTTAACTTCATTCAAAACAATTTTGTTAGATTGTATTGTGACAGCTGTCACACCAGGATGCATTTTAAAAAAACTTATCAAAATTAGTGGATTTTTGTGCATCCATTTAATATTGAAGATAGAGGAAAATATGCAACATTTTAGGTATATTATGCTTTGTTATTTCGAGAAAGGTAAAAATATAAAAAAAAGATTTGTGCAGTGTGTAGAGAAGGTGCTGTGACTGATCAAACTTGTCGAAAGTGGTTTGTGAAGTTTCATGCTGGAGATTTCTGCCATGGTTGGATGGACCAGCTGAAGTTAATTGTGATCCAATCGAGATACTAACTTAGAACAATCAGCGTTATACCATGCAGGAAATAGTCAATGTACTCAAAATATCCAAATCAATAAAGTTATTGGTAAAAGTGAAAAATATGCCTTTTATTTCATGGCAAAAACTAAACGGGCCTTTTGGCCAACCCTTTTCTTGGAGGCCGACAGGATAAGAGAATGTTGCCAAAGGAACTGGAAACAGGGAAACTCTTTGTCATTTCAAGGAAACCAGAAAGGACTAAGAGCTCAGTGTTCTCCGGTAGGAAGAAGAAGGCTGACGTCAGAAACTCATCTGCATATCTTTGGCAGGGCTTAAAAGAGGGAGCAGGCAGGGCAGAGTCTGCAGAAAGTCCTGATTCATAGACAGTATCCTGGGATCACATAGCTTGAGTTCTTGTTCTTGCTTCACACTGTAGCTACCAGTAAACTTCTTAATTTTTCTAAGCCTTCATGTTGTCATCAGTAAAAGGAGGTGTTTGGAAATTAATCAAACCTACCATCTCAATCAGCAATTTTTAACCTTTTTCATGTCCTAGCACACATAAACTAATTATAGAAATTCTGTGGCAACCAAAAAATATCTTTTTTTTGCAGATTTAACAAAAAATATGTATAATTTTGATTTATTCACATGAGATAGCTATTGTGTTGGCTGTTGTCATTTTTTTAATGCGACAGTCTAAGGGGAATTGGTCAGTGCCCCTGACCAAACAGTCAGGTGTTACATGTTTTCAAAATTCTTTCAGCACAAGAATGAAAATCATTTTTCCATATTATTACAAAAATTAGACAAGATCATCGAAATCAAGTATTGATAATGCCTGCAACATTATAGGCTCTTAATAAATGATGGATTCAACATTTTTAGAAAGATTACATCTTGATCCCTATAGAGATATATAACAGTTCAGTTCTTCTAATTCATTTGAAACTCCCTCTAATCACACTAGCTGATAATTTAGGTTCTTTCTCCACACCTGTTTTAGGTGAGGTTCTGGGAAAATGCGAATTTTCTGAATTAAAAGAAGCTCATCCTAAAGGTCACCAGAGTTTATGCAGGGCTATCGTCCCAAGTCACTGATAGAACCCGTCTGACAGGGTCTTCCCACTGGGATAATGTAGCATGCAGGCCTCTAGTTTCTTTACCTTGCTTATAAGGGAGTAAATTTCTGCACCTTTTCTTCTTCCCGGTTTTAGGTATATGCTATGCATTTGTGGGCACGCATGGAATTTTGTCTGTTATTATAAAACTGAGTTTTAAAAATTGAAAAGACTTCAGCAAACTCTTTCTGGAATGCCAGCCTTTAATCCCACCTTAACTGCTGTCGCATGAATGTAGAAAGTGCTAGATCCCTGACATCCTTTCCTGTCTTAAGACATCCACCTTCCAATAGATTATGTGTGTACTTTTACATGTTTTGTAACTATTTTTCTACAACTAAATGTCCAAGATCCCAGTATATGAAAGCAAGTCAGTGCTTCCCTTGGGTCTGTGTCAAAGGCCAAGAGGCCATTCTTGCATATTTAAAATATTTTCACCCTTTTTATAGACTCCTCTTAATATTCTATTTAAACTATTTTAATTATTTTTTTTCTTTTTCATCATCTGAATACTGTTTAGACAGGGCTTATTGTTAGCATGATTTCACAGATGAGGAAACTCCGAAGGCTAAATGATTTGCCCCAAGTAGCCCATCTGGGAGGATCCTAACCCATGTCTTCAGACTCGAAAGCCTACATGTGTTTTATTTTTAGAGCTTTCCACCCTGTATTTTTCAATATTTTCCTGGGACACTTTTTGAACCACTTCTGAGGATCTTTTTTCCCCAGTTGTTTGGTTTGTTGTGTGTCTATTAAGCCAAATTTTGAACTTCTTCATCTTTGTATGTAGATCTCAGAGCCCCTATTACCTGGCACTTGGTAAGTGCTCATTAAAATGTATTGGATCTATAGGGTGACTGGTGACATCAGTGAATAATTGAAGTTCCTAAAGCTGAAACCTGACTCAGGAGCATTATTGAAAATATCACTGCCCTTGACTGACTCGCTTTCCACCATGCTATATACCACTATGTAGAATATATGTAGCTCATTGTATCCCAGGCTTCACCAGAAAAAACAGTTCATGACGGCCTGTCCTGGAGGTTTCACAGGAATGAATTGCTAAACCATGGAGGACATTCTGACCAAGTGTATTTAATCCTTTAGGAAACAAGCTATATCGAAGACAACTCCAGTCAAAGCGGTGCCATATCACTGATCTTCTCACTCAAAGAAGAAGTTGGTGCACTGTCCAAAGTCTTGCGTTTATTTGAGGTAAGGGCTTATTCGTTTCTGCCTGGGAGACTTGATTTCCAGCTTAGGCTCTTCTTACATTAACCGACTGTGTGACTTCAGCTGAGTGTTTCATTCTCTCCGAACTTCAGCTGCTGCGTTCACAGTCAGATCCGTCGGAATCACCGCTTGCATACCCAGGAAATCAGCCCTGGCCTCAGACATCCGTCACCAAATTCTTCTTGAATTAATCACTTCTTAGCAGTGTTCTCAAAACACTTTTTACTTTTAAGAGTAGTACCTATTTGCTGTACATGTAGACATTTCTATCTGGCCCTGAGGGTGGTTTTGACATTGGCTCAGTCATCTTATATTCTCTACAGAGGAAAATCTCATTGTGGTATACATGGAACCACATTTTTATATATTAAGTGTTCAATTAAGAACAAAATTAAATTTAAATACAGTCAGAGGAAATTGATTTTTGTTTTACTTTTTTGCCCTGGGATTTAAGAAGGAATATTTTTCAAGCAATTCACTTTTACCTCGAGTTTTTTAATAAAATTAAATTTGGTGGGTTATCAGTGGGGAGAAGGAGCAGGGAGAATGGGGGAAAAGGTACGGGGAATAAGAAGCATAAATGGTAGGCACAGAATAGACAGGGGGAGGTTAAGAATAGTATAGCAAATGGAGAAGCCAAAGAACTTATATGTAAGACCCATGGACATGAACTAAGTGGGGGCAATGTGGGTGGGAAGGAGGGTGCAACGAGGAGGGGAATAAAGGGGGGAATAGGATAACTGTAATAGCATAATCAACAAAACATATTAAAAAATTAAATCTGGTGACTGAATACGTAAACAAATGGAGAAGACACAAAGCTACCATGCAGAAGAATTCAAATCATTTAAGTAGATACTCTACTCAAAGGAGGAGAGCATAACTCTACTTTTCTTTAGTGTAGGTAGCACAGAGTGACTTCAACGTTCACATTGGTTCACATTGGTGATATGTGGCATAGTTGTTCAAGCTTTTAGTCTTCATAAAAGGCTAAAATTCTCCTTCTGCAGCTTTATTCCTTGAGGAGAGGGTGGTGAACATTGTTTCTGAGCTTTGTTCACAGGGTTCTTACTCTTTCATGATCCTTTCCGCATATTCCATCTTGTGCCTATACTTCCTTCATCTCCTGTTGGGGGTACTGAGCTGCCCCCAGTGTTTGTCCATACAAATGGTGCTGCACTAAACAGTTTATTCCAGTCTGATGACCTCTTTATTGGAGAGAAGAACCTCAGATGGAAAACTGGCACTGCTTTTAGCTACCAGACAGGTCAGAGCTGGACACACTTGAGAAATAGCCACGTGGAGTTTACTTTTAAAACTTTCATCATGAAGCCAGACCTATCACAGTGACCGTTTAGACCCAGCTGTGGCCCGTGGTTGACACAGACATTGTCATCATTCTTCAGTAGCCTGGACTGGAACAGACCACTGTGCCTTTTTGATCTTATCGCTCTGGTGGCGAGAAAAGGTGGAGGAAGAGGAATAAAAGGAAAAGAAAGCCTTTTTTCTCAAAAGCCTTTAAAAGGCCCTGGATGAAGCTGCCACCTCAGCTCTCCCCAGGAAAGAGTCTCCTCTGTGTTGGATGCAACTCCAGCTGCATGGAGGGGAATATGGGGAAGAAATAATATCACAGAGATGGGGAAGACTCGGGGAAGAGAAGGCCAAAAGATTACAAGAGACACTTGCAGAGGAAGCAAGAGTGGAATCCTGAAAGGTGGTCTCCTGGGCACGAATTCTACTGAAAATCCAGTGTGAACCTGTGCAAGAACTTTCCCCCCAAGTTAGTGTGTGTGTGTGTGTGTGTGTGTGTGTGCGTGTGTGTGCGGGCGAAGAATTTGAGCTCCCTCTAGAATTCAGTGGTGCTGCTCATACTTGTCTGAATGCTTTTGGTTTCCTGGTAGTCCCAGTGGGTTGAATTTCCGGACCCTTGATCATTCCGGGCTGTTGCTGGCCCTCTCACACCAGGAGACCAGTGAAGTATATGAGAAGCCCTGCCTGCACCCGTTTCAAGTCTGGATTAAGTAACTGCAATCTTTGCAACTACCGTTTCTCACCCCCTTCATTTGCAGTTGCCTCCAGACTGTTTCTGCCCCTGCCCCAAGGGTTCCTTTGAAAACAGGAGTCAAAGGATATCTCTCCTCCTCCCAATTACCAAGCTTGGCTTTTCCGATCAGCTGGAGTGAAAACCAAACTCCAGGTAATGGCCAACAGTTGTTTGCAGGGCCTACTGCCAGTCACTTCTCTGCCTCATGTTCTACCACCCTCCTTGCTCACTCTGCCCTAGTCACACCGGCCACCCCCATGGCTCTCAGGCACATCATGCACCATCTTACCCGGGGACCCGAGGAAGAGTGAGGCATTTACGGTTCGCCCATGCCCCGCTCCCTCACTGACTCCTGATTGGTGCTCACGTGTCACCTGTTTATTTTTCGAGGCCTTCCTGACCACACTGTTTAAAACGGCACCTTCATTGCACCCCTGGAATAACTAATCCCTCTTTCCTGCTTCGTTGTTCTCCATTTCATCCCAACCCAAGACTACGTTGTTTTTTGTATAGTTATTGTTTGTCTCCTCTTTCGAGGATGGAAACTCCAGAAGGGCAAGGATTTTTCCCTGCTTGGTTCCCTGTTGTACCCCAGCACCTAGAACAGTGTCTGACCCATGACAAGTTCATGACTAGATGAGCTATTGAAAGCTCCTGGGGGGTTGCTGGAGGCCAGTGATTTGGGGCATGCTTTGTGAATGTCTTCAGCGTTACCTCCGAACTGAGCAAGGGCATAGCTTCGTTCACACTTTACTCTAAAGCTTCGGCATGCGGTGGTTCAAGGAGGGCTCCCTTTTCAGTCTCATCTCATCTGGAAATATGCTCAGCTTTTCCTTTTTCTTTTTGGAACATGCCCTGGGGCAAGGCGCTGAGAAAAGTTTAGGGTAAAGCAGATATTAAATGGTGAAATGACTCATGACACCGAATGTATTTTGATGCCCATGGAAATGAGCATCTGTGTGAAGTTGAGAGAAACAGGGTGTAATGCATTCTCACTGAATACCCATGGATGAAGCTATGCCTTTTCTCCTTCTAATTCTCACGGAGCTGCCAGTTAATATTATTATCCTTATTTTAATCATGAGTAAACCACAGCTCATGGCCAACTAATAATCCTCACAGGTAGTGAGCAGCAGACCCAGAATTTGAACCCAGAGTGTCCCAAAGCCACACCTTTTACACTGGGCTCTCTCTCGAGAAGTGAAATGGAGGAGGAGGGGAAGGGACCCTGCGTCTGAGGTCAGGGAAAGATCCAGAAGCACAAGTCTCTATTTCTCCCTGGCGAACTCTGTTTTCATAGTTTTATCCACTTGTGACCAATTTTCCCTTAGAAAGATTTTCCTCAAGGTTGGGAACAGAATGGGGTTTCCAATCAATCTCTATTAATATAAACTATGGATGCCACTTTGCTATTCTGTGGGACCCACACTTTCTGCTCCAGGGTCCTGATTCATCAAGTATTACGCCGCTCTCTTTTACGTATAAATTAACTACTGGACAGATCATGAAATTGTCTTTAAAATATTTGACTCTGTTTCTTACCTCCTCCCAGATGTCCATGTAGAGTAACAGAAAGTTCTTTTTGTTTCCCTCACCCAAAGGGGTGGTCAGTGTGTAGGGGTCAATGCGTAAACCGGTATAGAGCCCTTGATTAAAACTTTAAAAAATTTACTAAAAAGTGATTATGATCATAATCAGGTTTGGAAGTTCATTTCTAAAGGCATGCTTAGCAACCAAAATGATCGAAGTATCCATATTGATCAGCTGGAAAAACTTTAACCCAGAAATTACATGCCAAACTAGAGAGTCAGTTACTGACAACTTATTCAAATGGAAAAGAAATAGTTCAAAGAATAAGGCTGTGTGCTCTTAGCCAGGAACTTCTCTCACATTTAAAAGGTACATTTTTTCTTTATATTATATGGCTACCATGATAAGACTCTTGGGAAGTAAATAGAAGTCATGCATAGTCTTGTCATAACTCATTTCGATGCATTTCATTCTAGTCTTTTAAAATTTTATTTACTTATTTATTGCCTGGTCGTATTTTTAAAAGTACGTTTTAATGATCACACACCTATATCCATCATAAGTATTTTCCCAAGGGCTTGTCATTATAACCCTGTGAGACCTAAAGTGAATTTTTCATCATGAAAGCAATAAATGTTGTTTTAGAAAAGTTGAACCATGACAAAAATGCAAAAAGAGAGAAGGAAACAAAATCCCCGCCAGGCCCGTTATCTAGAGACCACCTCTGCTGACCTATCTCGCAAGCGATCAATGACACTTCATTTTACATAAGGTGTCGCTGCTTTTTCATGGGTGTGGCATCGGCACCGAGGGGTTATACTACGGTCTCTGTAACCATTCCTCTGCAGTGGAAATTTAGTTTACAAATTTTGGTTAAAACATTTCCCTGGAGGATAGGTCTGTAGAATAGTGAAAACTGAGTTTGGGGGTATACATTGTTTTGCGGCTTTTCCCAAAAGAAATGCTGTTCCCAGGGGCCGAGTGGTGATCCCCAACAGCCTATGGTCAGCCTTCCAGCCCTTCCTCCCCCAGGCCCCTCCCCCACGCACCCGCCCCTTCCCTTAGCGCTAAGTTTGCCAGAGGTGTGGCTTAGTCCTGGCTCTTGGCTTGGCTGGGATCTCTGGCCTCCACAAGGCAGAAATCTGGTTCCTTCTTCTTTTGAAGTTTCAATTTATATGAATAGGAGGTGGAACTCACCCGCCCTCTCTCTTTCCTTCTGAGCCAAAAATGGTGATTCTTTGCTTTGTTTCAGAAGTTACCTTCCTTTGCTTAAACAGCCTCAAAGCAGCCACGGTGTCTCTGGCCTTCCCTCCTCTACCATCTCTCTCTCTAGTATGTGATGTCCTCAGGGCAGACGACCTGGTGTCACCGTCAGGACTGCGCTCCCTGCAGCAGCCGCCACCAGTAACAACCCCAAAGTTGCAAAATACTGGGCCCCTGTCTCCTACCATTTTGGCAAATCCCCTTCATCTCTGATTTCGTTTTTTTACATCGCTTTTAACCTTCTCAAAGGGTTGTTGGGAAGATCACAGAAAATAATTCTAAACTGTGAAGTGACAATCATAATACTGTAACTGTCATGTTTTTGTCACCCATGTACCATTAACCATCAAGGGGAAAATATGCTTCTTGAACTACAAAGTTGATGATTTTTTTTTTTGTTCTTTAAAATTGTTGAGCCATTCAAGTTACACATTATTTTTCCAGGGTATATTTTTTCTGTTTAAATGTTTGGGGTAACCCTGGTTATTTGGTTATTTGAACAAAGGGTAGAGGGTGCGCCCTAGTTTTCTTCACTGCCAGCACCGCCAATGAAATCAGACTTTCTGACAGAGTAGCAGATGACTTACCCTACGTTGAAATTCGAGAACCAATTTAAATAAATGACTCTTTTAATGACAAATCCAGGATAGCTAAAATATCACCAGGTAAAGGCATTGAGTTTGAGTAGGCACAGAAAGTAGTTATTATTTTTGTGGCATTTAGGAAAAGCAGCCAGTACACCACTCTGTCCTCAACAAGGCCTCGTGTGCCCACCCCATTAAATGCTGTGATCTGCCCACATGGCACCCCAGGACTGCCTACCTGCCTTGTATTTTCCCCTCAGCCCTCATCATTATAAAATAATATATAAATTAGTTCTCTTTTACACTTGTTGTTTATTTCCCTGCAGCTTGAATGTGAGCTTTTATAAAGGGAAGTATCTTTGTTTTGTTCACCGATGCATCCCAGCCACCTGGGAGAGTAATGGGTCCCTGGTGGATGCTATGTACACATGGGTTGTGTATTTGAATAAAAAGTAATTATGCAAAAATATGAGCAGTAATTATATTAAATGATTTGTACCGAGCACTTACCATCCACCTGGCAGTGTACATGTGTCATTTCATTCAGTGTTCCCCAAAATGTCTGCAGTAGGTGTCACTGTCATCTCCCAACTAGAGACAGGGAAATCAAAGGTTAGAAACATGGAGGTAAGTTGTCGCAGGTCTCGTTGCCCAGAAAGTTAAGAACGTGGATTTAAATCCCGTAAGCTTGACTCCTGTGGACCCTTTTCAAGCAGAAATCTGTTGTTTCTACGTATTTACTTGTTGTGATGTTATTATTCAAATTCCGTGGAGTTTTTTTTCCCTGTGTAAACACTTTTGGCACACTCTGTCCTGGACCTAGGGTGCAGATCAACATTTCACACTCACAGCCCTGGCATTCGGCTGGTCCCCACACGGTTAAATTCTGCGGCCTTGGAACTGTCTCCCTACCTCTTGCCATTTGTTCCTGGGATTTGAAAAAGAAAATAGAGTGGAGGTGGGCAAAGTGGGGGGAGGGGATACTGTGGACCTCTGTAATAGTGTCAACAATAAAAATAAAGGAAAAAATGAAAAGTCAAAAAATCCTGTAACTTTAAGGACTTTCTTCTACTCTGATTTTAAAAATCTTATTTCTCATCTGTCTGCATTTTTGTGTGCTGTGCGTTTTGCTCTGTTTTTGCGTGTTTGGTCTGTGTTAATGCCAATGACCATCCCCTTCACACGGCCAATTCTGTTTTCTAGGAGAATGATATAAATCTGACCCACATCGAATCAAGACCTTCACGTTTAAAGAAAGATGAGTATGAGTTCTTTACCAACCTGGATAAAGGCAGCATGCCTGCTCTGGCCAACATCGTCAAGACCTTGAAACACGAGATTGGTGCCACGGTGCATGAACTTTCCCGAGACAAGAAGAAAGACACAGGTAAGAAAGCGAGCAATTTTGCAACCCCGGCCACTCGACATTCTGTTTACAAAATAGTGGCAAAAATAATACCCGCCCTGGAAGATCATTGGGGGATTAAGCGAGAAGATGTAGGCCTGGCATATTGTAGACATTTAACAAATGTTAGCTTTTTTTTTTTCTTCCTCAGGATAGCTATTTCTCCTAGTGGTTGTTATAATTCTGTTGCTGCGATTTTTATATATTTTTCCTTCTTGGGTTGTCATGCTCTTGACCTCCTACCTCCAGAGGGGGGATGGTTAGGGTGCCCAGGGTGCTATCTATGGAGATACAACTTCGAGACAAATCCCGTGCTTATCTCCACTCCAGCTGGAGCCTGTCCACACACCCTCCTCATAGTTCGTCGGCTCCATCCCTGGAGGCTGCCTGCCCTTGTCCTAGTGTTTCCATGGTCACTGTCCACCTCTCTGTCTGTCTCTTCCACCACATTATGAGTTTCTTATAGGCAAGGGGAGTCTTTTATATATATGTCCTAGGAGCTTAGCCCCATGTGTAGAATGCAGGTGCTGAGCAAATCTTTGGGAGTGAATGATTAAGTGAAGGAGTTGTGAAGACTTGCTCTCTCTGTTTCCTCATGGAGCAGATGCACGCTTCCCGTGGATGTCCCCTGAACCGTAAGGCAATGACGGGGGGCCAGTGCAGTGCAGGCATTACAAGTGGGTTGGGGTTGAACAGACTTCAGTTCAAGTCCTACCTCTTCCTCTTAATGACTTTGAGACCCCTGACAAGTCCTTGTAACTGCTCTGACCTCAATTTTTTAAAGATTTTATTTATCTATCTTTAGAGGGGAAGGAAAGGAGAGAGGGAGAGAAATATAAATATGTGGTTGCCTCTCGTGCACCCCCTGCTGGGAACTGGCCTGCAATCCAGGCATATGCCCTGACTGAGAATCGAACCATGATCCTTTGGTTCGCAGGCCTGCACTCAATCCACTGAGCTACACCAGCCAGGTGACTTCAGTTTTTCATAGGGTTTATGTGAGGGTTAAATGAGATACATAGTGCCTAGATTGGAGAAACGGTAGTATGTGGTTGTTGTTGCTATTATGTTGTTGCTATTATGCTCTGTATCCTAAAAAGAATACAGAGCAACAAAGTGATAGCTTTTTTAGGATGCAAAGTATATTCAGATAAACTATTGTAATAAGTTTTATATTTGTAAAAGCAGTTTCAGGCTTACAGAAAAAATTGTGCAGAAACTATAGAGAATTCCCACATGCCCTCTTTCTCCTCCCCCTGCCCACCCCAATTTCTCCTGTTGTTAACACCCTGCGTTAGTCTGCTACATTCTTTATAGTTGATGAGCCATAGTGTTACGTTATGAGTAACTGAAGTCCATTGTTTATGTTAGAGATCATGCTTCGTATTATTCGGTCCTTTTGGTTTTGATAAATGCGGTATGATACGGTGATGGACAGTGATGGATAACATCACGTACACATCGCTGCAGCCTCCTGTAGATGGTCCAGCTGCCTCCCCGATGCTCCGTGCTCCACCGATTGATGTCTCTTTCCTTACTTGGTCCCTCCGGTAACCACTGATCTTCTTACTGTCTTCATGATTTTGACTTTTCCAGAATGTCATATTGTTGGAATCAGGGTATGTAGCTTGTTTAGACTGGTTTCTTTATTTTATTTTATTTTTCTTTTTAAAAAAATTTTATTTAGTTATTTTTCAAGTACATTTTTTTGTCTATTTCTCCTATCCCAGTCCACCCCGCCCCGTGCTCCCCACCTCCCTCCCATTTCCTCCCCACCCCAGTCCTCATCCCTGTGTCTTTCATACTTGTTCCTCCAAATCCCTCCCCTTTTTCCCCCTTAAATTCCCTTCCCTCTCCCCTCTGGTCACTGCCCCCTTGTTCTCTATTTTAGTGTCTTGGTTTTTATTCTGCTTGCTTGTTTGTTTTGTTGTTTAGCTTCCTGTTAAAGGTGAGATCATATGGTATTTGTCTTTCAGCACCTGGCCTATTTCACTCAGCATAATGCTTTCCAGTTCCATCCATGTTGTTGCAAAGGGTAGTGGCTCCTTTCTCTCTGCTGCATAGAATTCCATGGTGTATATGTACCACAATTTTTTGATCCATTCATTTACTGATGGGCACCTAGGTTGCTTCCAGCTCTTGGCTATTGTAAATTATTTTATTTTCTTATAGAGAGGAAGGGAGAGAGCAAGAGAGGGAGAGAAACATTAATGTGTGGTTGTCTTCTGTGTGCCCCCTACTGGGGACCTGGCCCACAACCCAGGCACGTGCCCTAGACTGGGAATCGAACTGGTGACCTTTTGATTCTCAGGTGGGCAGTCAACCACTGAGCCACACCAGCCAGGGCTAGACTAGTTTCTTTTACTTCCATGTCTTTCTGTGACTCAATAGCTCATTTCCTTCTAGTGCTGAATAATGTTCCATTGCATGGATGTACCACAATTAGTTTATCCATTTGCCTGTTGAAGGACATTTTGGCTGTTTCCAAATTGTGGTGACTTTGAACAATGCTGCTAAAACATTCACCTGCGGGTTTTTGTATGGACCTGAGTTTTCAGCTCATTTGAATGAATACTTAGAAGAGCCACTGCTGAGATGAAATGTTTTTTCCTAAAAAATTTAAAAATTGTTTTATTACAAAATCAAAGGGTTGGTTTTGTTTGTTTTTGTTTTTTGTAAAAAAACACTAAAGACTTTAGGTCAAGAGGGTTTCAGGCTCCACAGCTGAAAGTAGCTTTTCATAGGCAGAGATGCTTTAAAACAAGGCAAGACCCGCCTCTTAGCTCAAGCCGTTGAAACAGTAAGAGCTACCTCCAAGGCCCTCCTGGGAGATCTCGCTTCTTTTTCTGCCCTCGTACTCCTGTGGCCATCACACAGACAAGAAAGTCCATCCAGAACTCTGCCCCAGCTGAGGGCATACAGCCACACTCGTGGGCTCAGGTCACTGGGGGTGGACACTTGGAATTCCTCCTCAGATCAACCCTGTCTGCCTGCCCCCCTTCCACCTTCCAAGCTGCTTCCAGATGATCGTCTTCTTTTGCTTTTCTGGCCACCTGCTCCCCACAGGAGCTGCAGGCTCTCAAGACAAAGGCCCTGCTGGACTTGGGGCCAAGCCCTGCTTCTGCCTGGAGCAGGTGGAGGCCTGGCCAGCTGGGGCCCTGGGGTAGAAAATCAAAGCAATTGACAGGCAGGCCCATGGCCCCTTGGGGAGCCAGGGAAGATGTATGTAGACCAGATGAAGGGCTGGCAGCCTGAACTGGAGGCTTAGAAAGGAGGTTCTTAATGGGCCGTGGAAGAATAGTTAGGAGCCCAGACTTTAAAACCAGGGCACGCCATAGTTAGTGTAACTTGGGGCAAATTGCTGACCTTTACAATCCCCCAGTGTATCCCATGGGAGTAACAAGTGTCTCTGTCTCATAGGATTAATGAAATAACAGCAGCGGAGCATTGAGAACAGTGCAGAGCATGTTCAAGGGCCCAGTAGATGTCCTCTCTTTGGACCATTATCATGATTAATATAAATAACGACCCGAGCACAGGAGCCACGAAATGCCAGCCTGCACACGACTGCTTTTTCAGGGATTCTGGGAACTAGAAAAGGACCTCAGAGTTCATGCAGCCCAACAGACTCCTTAATTTCTTAAAAAAACAGAGGCCATGACTTGCCTTCAGGCAGGGGGTGGATTCGGTGGATGGTGGGTGAGCATGTGTGGAGCGATGCTGTGGGCCAGGCACCATGCTGGGAGCTGGGGTGACAGAGGGTCGCACTGCCTGTCCTTAAAAAGCACACAGGTCTGCCACTCAGGTAGATAGAGTAGAGGGACAGGGACTGCAGTGGAGACACGGCTGATGGAATTTGGCTTCTTCTCCACTGTTTCACGTGGTGACCTGGCAAGTACAAGAATGAAAAAGCCATCCTGGCTGCTGTGGCTCATTAGTTGGGTGTCATCTCTGACAGGTCACCGGGTTGGATTGTGGGTAGAGACACATGCCTCAGTTGCTGGTTTGGTCCCCTGTCTGGGTGCTTATGAGAGGCGACCCGGTCAATGTTTCACTCCCTCTCTTTCTCCCTCCCACTCTAAAAATAAAACAGAATTTTTAAAGAATTGAAAAAAACCAATGTTTTCACACAGGGAAATCATGTCCTCAGTGTTGGGCTGAACATAGCACAGGTTCGATTCCTTTGCTGGGCTCAGAATGGCAGGGCTTTGAGGTTTGAAGTTGAGTTAACATTGTACCTAATGGAGGAAAAACCACTAAGACTAACCATTTAAAATAAGGGTTTGGGGCCCTTATGAGTATGGATGCTCGGTCACCCCCCATCCTGGCTGCCCCAACCTGACACGGCTTCTGACCTTGGCTCTCCTCGTAACAGGACGGCTGTGAGGGATGCAGGTGATGGGGAAACAGCACAGCTCTGCACCTGCGGAGAGAGACGGGCCCTCTGGGCGTCTGGGTAGTTTTTGTAAAGAAGTCAGGGCCCAGGAACAGCTCTTTTCTGGGGTCAACAATCACCGTGGCTGAGTTGCTCTTTCTGTAGAACGCAGTGGGAGCATGATCAGAGGAAGGAAGGCATCGCGGTGGATCTGAACCTTTGATTCTTTTCACTCCACAAAATGCCCTGTCTGGGGAGGGGCTCAGCTCTCAGGGGCAAGGCAGACAGCAGGTTGAAGTGGCAGATCTGAGCCCCTCAAGTCAATTAGGCTAAACCACTTGTCACTCTAGTTTTTAAACCATTCAAAGGGCCATGTGAGCGATAGAAAATGAAACTTTTCAGTTTCTTAATTGCTAAAAAATTCCCCACCCAAGACAGCTTAAGGGAAGGTTAATTACAGTGACAAGTTAAAAATAAACCCCAACCTTCCAAAATGCCTCCTGGAGAAAGTAGTGTGAGTTTAATAGGATTTTAATCCAGAGAGTCTTTTGAATACTTGAGGTCTATTCTCCTGCTACCCTCTCTCCTGATGACCTCAAATCCTTCT